GAACTCTGTGTACTTAATTTTGACTTTGCATGAGTCGGTTCGCTATGTTTGATGAGTGTCTGACGTCTGAAATGACTATGATCAATTACTCTCTATTCATTTAAATTAATTTCGTAATAATTTCCAAAAAAAAAAGTATTTCTCGATGGTAGCATTACAACCATTTGAATTAATTATAGCTCTTTTCACGTCAGTCGATGTTCGCCAGTTCATCCTTTTAGTTAAGTGGAGTTTGACAAAATTCAAACCAGAATTTTCTATACTATAAAGGACATGATAAAAGAAAATTTTCAAATTTCATCAAGGTAGTTAAATACAGTCTCGATAAATTAATATTCTATAAATTACTAATTTTGATTAAGACCAATGTGGTAAATTAAGAAGTCATTAAATTTATAAAAGTATATATTAAATAAACATATGGATTCCATTTGATATATAAATTAATAATCTCTTTACACATCAAAATTATATATGTACATGATTCAATTAGAAGGTTTTTGAGTTATTCTCTATACCACATTAACTATGAACTATTCCCTTACCATGTCAATTCTTAGCTATAAGTTAGGCTGATGATGTTATTTCCAAGATTTAACAACTTTTTCCTACCCAAATAATGGTTTAATAACACTTTCTCATCCACAAACTTTTAAAAATATTTTACTATCCAAATTTATATTCCAACGAAGAATAGAGAGCAACTGGGTCCAGGTTGTTGGATCTTTTGAAGAGAGGAGGCCGATGAGTCTTTTGGTGGTGGAATATTGAATTTTGGTGGTTGGGATTTATCAAAATCTGACTTGAGAGGACTAGTTACGAAAACCCTAATCACTCGATAGTCGGCAATTGGAGGGGTCGACGGCAGTAAAGTTTGAGAGGTTTTGATAAGTGATGCTCGAAGAAAAGAATAATAGTGGTATGAGGTCACAACTATGCCAAAAAAAGAATATAAATTTGAATAATAAAGTAGTAAAAGACCATTAAACAATTATTTGGGTAGGAAAAAGTCGTTTACTCTATTTTCAAAATCTATTCTGTATACCACATTAACTATATATAATATGTATCAACATTAAGTTCAATGTTTTGGAAAAAAAAAAAAAAAAAAAAGAATGCCTCAATAAATTATCAATTTTTATGATTAATTAATAAATTTTTATAGTCCCAAGTATATTAATTTATCAAGATTTAACTATATTATCAGTTTTAATTTTCCTTGCAATTTGCCCATTACCACCACTCATTTGACATTTAATAATATAGCTTCCACAATATTCTTCTTCTGATATCAATATCAGCTATAAAGAATCCTTATCTAAAAATCTGAGTCAACATCGTATTTATAACAAATCTGATAGAGAAAGATTATAACATCGTAAATAAAAACTTTAAAATTTGTTAATGAAAATAAGCACTTTAATTTTCCGTCTCCTGTATAAAAATAATGGAAAAATTAATAATAGTAGAAGCATAAAGTCGGAAGCAACACGCAAAAGAAAGCCAGATCCAACAAACCCTCAAATGCAATTTAATGGAGAAAGAGAAAGAATTTAGAAGCTCAAAATCTGAAGAGATAAAAGTGATGTGGATGTCTAGCTAAACTTAGTAAAATCTATCTCTTGTAAGAAAATGCATGTCATCATAAACACAACTGTCACTCACAAGAAAATACCGTAGCTTAGTCCACCACCACCACGTTCAGCTTTTAGTTTAAATTTGCACTAAATGATTCNGTTCAGTGTAAATCAAAAGGATTTATGAAGTTTGTCTGGATTGTTTCATGGGGCTGTTGGGGGTTGACAATTGCTGATTTATTAATTAATTTTACACTTGGAACTCTGTGTACTTAATTTTGACTTTGCATGGGTCGGTTCGCTATGTTTGATGAATGTCTGACGTCTGAAATGACTAATTAATTACTCTGTATTCATTTAAATTAATTACTCTGTATTCATTTAAATTAATTTCGTAATAATTTCCAAAAAAAAAAGTATTTCTCGATGGTAGCATTACAACCATTCGAATTAATTATAGCTCTTTTCACGTCAGTCGATGTTCGCCAGTTCATCCTTTTAGTTAAGTGGAGTTTGATAAAATTCAAACCAGAATTTTCTATACTATAAAGAACATGATAAAAGAAAATTTCCAAATTTCATCAGGTAGTTAAATACAGTCTTAATAAATTAATATTCGATAGATTAATAATTTTAATTAAATAATATTTTTAACCGATTCTGACTTTAAGTCAATATTTTAAATTAATAAATCGCTAAATTTATATGAATACATATTAAAAAACACACATAGATTCCATTTGATATACAAACTAATAATCTCCTTCTCCATCAAAATTATTTATATACACATGATTTAATTAGAAGGCCTTTGAGCAATTCCCTATACAGTTATACCACATCAATTCCTAGGTATAAGTTAGGTTGATGATGTTATTTCCAAGAGTTAACAACTTTTTCCTATCTAAATAATGATTTAATGACATTTTTTCACTTATAAACTTTTAAAAATATTTTACTATTCAAATTTATATTCTGACAACGAATAGAGACCGATAAATCTTTCGGTGTTAAAAGGTTAGATTTTGGTAGTTGGGATTGATTAAAATTTAACTTGGAAGGGTTGGCTACGAAAATCCTAATCGCTCGAATCGTCAGCAATTGGAGGGGTTGGTGAGAGTAAGGTTTGAGGGGTTTTGGTGAGTGATGATTAGGGAAAAGAATAGTGATGGTGTGGGGTCGCAATGATACTAGAATCAGAATATAAATTTGGGTAATAAAGTAGTATTTTAAAAGTTTGTAAATGAAAAAATGTCATTAAACTATTATTTGGGTGGGAAAAAAATCGTTTACTTTATTTTCAAAATCTATCCTCTATACCACATTAATTATATATAATATGTATCTATACTAAGTTCAATGTTTTGGAAAAAGAATAATTTATCGAGGTTTAACCATATTATCAATTTTAATTTTCGTTGCATTTTGCCTATTACCACCACTCATTTGACATTTAATAATAATATAACTTCAACAATATTCTTCTTTGATGTCAATATCCGCTATACCGTATACCCTCATCTAAAAATGTGAGTCAACATCGTATTTATAACAAATCTGATAGAGAAAGATTATAACATCGTAAGTAAAAACTTTAAAATTTGTTAATGAAAATAAGCACTTTAATTTTCCGTCTCCTGTATAAAAATAATGGAAAAATTAATAATAGTAGAAGCATAAAGTAGGAAGCAACACGCAAAAGAAAGCCAGATCCAACAAACCCTCAAATGCAATTTAATGGAGAAAGAGAAAGAATTTATAAGCTCAAAATCTGAAGAGATAAAAGTGATGTGGATGTCTAGCTAAACTTAGTAAAATCTATCTCTTGTAAGAAAATGCATGTCATCATAAACACAACTGTCACTCACAAGAAAATACCGTAGCTTAGTCCACCACCACCACGTTCAGCTTTTAGTTTAAATTTGCACTAAATGATTCATCTAACTCCTCACCTCCTAACCTCCTCTTATTATTATTATTATCATTCTTCTTCTTCTTCTTCTTTCTTTCTCTCACGTTCTATTCTAGTTCATTCTTCTTCTTCTTGTTGTTTTGTTTGAGTACAAGTTTTGGCCAAAATGAGAGCGCTAAGTAACCAGGATGATGATAAGATTACTAAGGAAAAGGAAGAAGAAGAGAAGAAGCCGAACAGAGTTTCGTTGCTAAAACTATTTACATTTGCAGATTTTTACGACTGTGTGTTAATGGTTTTGGGATCAATTGGTGCAATTATTCACGGGGTTTCAGTTCCTGTTTTCTTTATATATTTCGGGAAACTGATCAATATTATTGGATTGGCTTATCTTGCCCCCAAAGCAGCTTCTCACAAAGTTGCAAAGGTATCCAAAATTCTTCAAGAATCTGTAAATTACTTCATCTTCAACTGTCTTAACTTATTTTTGTTGCAGTACTCGTTGGATTTTGTATATCTCAGTGTGGCAATTATGTTTTCATCATGGCTAGGTACCGAAAAATTTTGTTTTCACCTCTATTTACCTTGTTTAATTTAATTTTGATTGATATATTGAATGTTTATATGTACATATAGAGGTGGCTTGCTGGATGTACACCGGAGAGCGGCAGGCAGCGAAAATGAGGATGGCGTATTTAAGGTCAATGTTAAGTCAAGATATAAGTTTATTTGATACTGAGGCTTCAACAGGAGAAGTAATTTCTGCAATTACAAGTGACATTATCATTGTTCAAGATGCACTTTCTGAGAAGGTATGTGAATTTTTTTTTTTTTAATTAAATAAGAATTAAATCTGCGAGTTTAATCCTAATTAATGACTGGTTCAATGATTAAAGATGATCTTGACTCTTGAGGTGAAATTTTGAAAAGGTGGTCCATGCTCAGGCTTCTCTTGAGTTATTTATTTCAGTTTACCTCCTTCACTCTTTATCCTAGTTCAAATTTTTTTTTACCATGAAAGGGTTTTAGAGAGATGGAAAATTTATTAGGGTTTACTCGTTTTCAGTTAATGGCTTTCGCGAACACACAGTTGGCAACTATAATTGTAGCTTCGTTTCAACTGTCAAATTTTTTGTTTCTTAAATACTGTCAGATCAACCCAAACACAAGAATGGTTGATACATTAATTGTTGCTATTAGTTGTAGGGTTAAGCTAAGATAAATAATATCAGAGAGTTACAGAGACAGTAACTTTATGGGCACTTAAAAATCATCAGAAAATGATTTACCAATTTCATATCCTGTAAGATCTTAAAATAAAATTTAAAAAGAAAAAAAAGGGCTAAATTTATATATATAAAAAAAAAAAAAGCTGAAAAATTATAATTAAAATGGTGTTCTTCTATGCATGGTAATTGTTTGGAGGATTTATAGCTTAATTTTGGAGCAAATAAATTTGGCAGAAAGCATTTATAAGTGGGGTTGGGTTGGTTAGATGAGTCTGTCGAGGCCAGCTCTGGTATCATAAAAATTGAAATCTCAGTCTGGCAACTTGAAACTTGAAACGAAGGAATTGATGAAGGGGCTTTCTTCTTTTAATTAGTTTGATCCAATTGAACCAATTAAATTTATGAAGTTTTATTTCTTTTTATTTTAATATTCAATTTGGGAGTTGGAGAGGCAAGAAGGCCGTGATCTCAATTATTAATTCTTCAAACTGTACCATAAGATTTTTTTCATTATTATTATTGGGTAGTATTATATAATTTTCGGCAATAATTAATTAAATAAACCACATAAAACGCCGTGATGTTCCTGGTTTGTAGGAATTGAATTAGGATTTTCATGCATGAAATTAAGACAATTGATGGGTAATTTTTTTTTTTTTTAAATTAAATTTTTGGCCTAATGTCTCACTTTGATATATTATATCATTTCTGAAGTTAATTACAATAATTTATCAAAATGCATTACTTTAATGGCTTTAATTTACTTGTATAAAAATGGTGAAATCAACCTGAACCCAACTTCTCATTGTCATTGTTTGATTACAGGTGGGGAACTTCATGCACTATATAAGCCGTTTTCTGGGAGGCTTCATTATAGGTTTTACTAGCGTATGGCAAATCAGTCTGGTCACACTTTCTATCGTCCCCTTGATTGCGCTTGCTGGTGGCATCTACGCTTATATTGCCACCGGCCTCATCGCCCGCGTCCGAAAAGCTTATGTAAAAGCCGGTGAAATCGCTGAAGAGGTAAAACAAAATCATCAATTTATCTTATCATTATACTTTGAACTTGACAGAAAAAAAAAAAAAAAAAAAATCTATTTATATATTTGATTTTGCAACTTAATTTTAGGTAATTGGGAATGTGAGAACTGTGCAAGCGTTTGCCGGAGAAGATAAGGCAGTGAAATTGTATAAAGAAGCTCTGTCAAATACTTACAAGTATGGAAGAAAAGCAGGATTAGCTAAAGGCCTCGGACTCGGCTCCATGCATTGTGTTCTTTTTCTTTCCTGGTCGTTACTTGTTTGGTTCGTTAGCATTGTTGTTCACAAACGCATTGCCAATGGCGGAGAATCCTTCACCACCATGCTCAATGTTGTTATCTCTGGCCTGTAAGTCTATGTTTCTTTATTTTTCACGTTTTGTGCCAATTATATTTTCTACAGTTTAATTGATCCCCAGAATTTGGGAACTTGTTTCTGATTACTTTTCAGGTCATTAGGCCAGGCAGCGCCTGACATTGTTGCATTTGTGCGAGCAACGGCGGCTGCCTATCCGATTTTTAAGATGATAGAGAGGGACACAGTGAGCAAAGCCAGCTCCAAAACCGGCCGGAAGCAAGACAAATTGTATGGTCACATTCAATTCAAGGATGTGTCATTCAGTTATCCATCTCGCCCTGATGTAGTTATTTTCAATAAGTTTAATCTTGACATTCCTGCTGGGAAGATTATAGCTCTTGTGGGAGGAAGTGGTTCAGGAAAGAGCACAGTTATATCTTTGATAGAACGTTTCTATGAGCCTCTTTCTGGAGAAATACTATTAGATGGACACAATATTAGGGACCTTGACCTCAGGTGGCTCAGGCAGCAAATTGGATTGGTTAATCAAGAGCCAGCACTTTTTGCAACAACCATCAGGGAGAACATTCTCTATGGAAAAGATGATGCCACACTTGAAGATATTACCCGCGCCGCCAAACTTTCAGAGGCTATAACTTTCATTAACAATCTCCCTGACAGATTTGAAACTCAGGTACTGATTTAAAATTCTTCTACCTCTGAGAAATCTGAGTGAGAATTTTGTCCTTAATGCGTAATGTGAGATGTGGATTGCAGGTTGGAGAGAGGGGAATACAATTATCCGGAGGACAAAAGCAAAGGATTGCGATATCGCGAGCGATAGTTAAGAATCCATCAATTCTTTTACTAGATGAAGCAACAAGTGCGCTTGATGCAGAGTCTGAGAAGAGTGTGCAGGAGGCACTTGATCGCGTGATGGTGGGAAGAACAACAGTTGTGGTTGCTCACAGGCTTTCCACCGTTAGAAATGCAGATGTTATAGCGGTTGTCAATGGAGGGAAGATTGTGGAAACAGGAAGCCATGAAGAGCTAATTTCAGATCCCAACAGCGCATATGCTGCACTTGTTCAACTTCAAAGCTCTGAAGCTTTGCAAAGCCATCCCTCGCAAGGTCCTTCCATGAGTAGGCCACTGAGGTACTTAACTTACACTTTCAAGTTTCAAACCTTAATCATCGGATGGCGCAGAGTTTTAATCTGTATTCTTAACTTTTTATAGCATCAAGTATTCAAGAGAACTATCTCGAACTACAACAAGCTTTGGGGCGAGTTTTCGTTCTGAAAAGGAATCAGTACTAGCTGGTGTTGAAGGAATGGATACTGTAAAATCACAGCATGTTTCAGCTAAAAGATTGTATTCAATGGTGCGACCAGACTGGATGTATGGGGTGGTTGGCACCATTGGTGCACTGATTGCCGGAGCTCAAATGCCTCTTTTCGCTCTTGGTGTCTCCCAAGCTCTTGTATCTTATTACATGGACTGGGATACAACATGTCGCGAGGTTAAGAAGATTACAATCCTCTTCATCTGTGGTGCAGTTGTTACAGTCATTGTTCATGCCATTGAGCATCTCTGTTTTGGTATCATGGGAGAGAGACTTACTCTTCGAGTGCGCGAAATGATGTTTTCTGGTAAATTGATCTTTAATTTAACCATCTTTCATTGCCTCTGATCTCTGGCATCTGAATAAATTAAGATTCTGATGGTTTGGTTTTATTTTTGGCTTTTTCACAGCAATTTTGAGGAATGAAATTGGATGGTTTGATGATATAAACAACTCAAGTTCTATCCTTGCATCACGTCTAGAAAGTGAAGCGAGTTTGTTAAGAACAATAGTTGTTGATCGCTCATCAATTCTGTTACAGAATGTGGGTTTGGTTGTCGCCTCATTTATCATTGCCTTCATCTTAAACTGGAGGCTCACACTGGTTGTCATAGCCACATATCCATTGATCATCAGTGGCCACATCAGTGAGGTTGCTTGTCCTTCCATACAAATTTTAAGCAAGCTTTGATTTTCAGGGCCACTCTAATAATTATCTCCTCTTGTCATCTTTTCAGAAAATCTTCATGCAAGGATATGGGGGCAACTTGAGCAAAGCATATTTAAAAGCTAATATGCTTGCTGGTGAGGCTGTGAGTAACATCCGTACTGTTGCTGCCTTTTGCTCTGAAGAGAAGGTCCTCGATCTTTATGCCCGAGAACTCGTGGAGCCTTCCCGCCGGTCATTTACTCGTGGTCAGATTGCTGGCTTATTCTATGGCATTTCCCAGTTCTTCATCTTCTCAGCCTATGGCCTCGCCTTATGGTAACGTAACTTCACTCTAATTCGATCAGCTTAGAAGCTTAAACAGAACATCAGTACTTAAGACTTAAACTTTCACTTTGAGCTGCAGGTATGGTTCTGTTTTAATGGGGAAGGAGCTCGCTAGTTTTAAATCTGTGATGAAATCATTTATGGTTTTGATTGTAACGGCTTTAGCCATGGGTGAAACTTTGGCTTTGGTCCCAGACTTATTAAAAGGAAACCAAATGGTGGCATCAGTCTTCGAAGTGATGGACCGGAAGACACAGGTAGTTGGGGACAAGGGTGAAGAGCTAACCAATGTAGAGGGTACAATTGAGCTAAGAGGCGTCCACTTCAGCTACCCTTCAAGGCCTGATGTTGTGATCTTCAAAGACTTTGATCTGAAAGTACACGCAGGCAAGAGTATGGCATTAGTCGGACAAAGTGGATCCGGTAAAAGCACTGTCATTTCTCTTATTCTTCGATTTTACGACCCAACAGCCGGAAAGGTGATGATTGATGGTAAGTTTTTAAGTTTTTTCTAGCATGCTTTTGTGGTTTTCAAAAATTGATTCTTCTTAAATATGGTTCACTTGATCAAATTGTTACAGGCATTGATATCAGAAAACTCAATCTCAAGTCTTTGAGGAAACACATTGCGCTTGTTCAACAAGAACCTGCTCTTTTTGCTACATCAATCTATGAGAACATCCTTTATGGGAAAGAAGGAGCCACTGAAGCAGAAGTGATTGAAGCAGCTAAACTCGCTAATGCGCATACTTTCATTAGTGCGCTTCCTGAAGGATACTCAACCAAAGTAGGCGAAAGAGGGGTTCAACTATCTGGTGGCCAAAAGCAAAGAGTAGCCATTGCACGAGCTGTTCTAAAGAACCCAGAAATTCTGCTATTAGATGAAGCAACCAGTGCGCTTGACTTGGAGTCAGAACGCGTTGTGCAGCAAGCTCTAGAGAGATTGATGCAGAACCGAACAACAGTCATTGTGGCACATAGGCTTTCTACCATAAAAAATGCTGATCAAATATCTGTTCTTCAAAATGGGAAGATAATAGAGAAAGGGACTCATTCAAGTCTCATAGAGAACAAAGATGGAGCATACTTTAAGCTGATCAACCTTCAGCAACAGCAACAAGGACAAAATCATTAGTAACAACAGGTGAGACAAATAAAAACCAGATCGATTTATTATTATTTGGGGTGTTTTGATAGATAATGCGCCCCGTTGATTTTCTTTTTCCCGTTTCTTAATTTTTGTCCATAAAATGTTGAGAATTTGGAATATTGGAAGCATTAATTGTTTCATTCTGAATATAACAATTATACATGTTCATCCTGTAACATACATGGAAGAGGCCTTTCTGTCGATCATGTGGCCATTGTTTGGATTCTGAGAAAATAAGTGGGGTAGGTGGAATTTGACTTTGTGTAAATTAACATGAATAGCATCACATTTGTTCTTGGTTACCAAATACTTGATAATTTTAAGTTACAGAAGCATGTGAAATGTAAAATTTTCTTGAGTTTTTGTAGTTTGCTAGTCCAGATGCAGCATTTTCAGATTTCTATTATGCGGCTCTGATTCTAAATATACCAATCACAACAACAACAAAAAAAGCCTTATTTCCTACAAGCAATTTCTGAATGTTGTAAAATGCTCTAGGAAATAGGATTTTAAGGGCAAAGAAACAATTTTCTCTGATGGTTTGAAAAAAAAAACAAGATTTCCGACTTCGACAAATTTAATGGCGTCTGATGTAGACTTATTGTAAGAATGACTCATTTCTTATAGATTTTGCTCATTTTCGACAAAGATTTTTCCCGAATAAATGAGCAGTTTTCTTATATTCAATTGTTGTAGATCAACATAGGATGGTCTGGCGGTCAAGGAGGTTTACTCATTTTTTTGAATTTTTTGGTTTAAACTTTAGGATCACCTATCACAGTAACATTGTAACTTACTTAGTCCTTTGAGTTTGTAAAGTGTTCAATGGACCTTAGGGATTAACTGAGGTGCGCACAAGTTGGTCTGATCACCCCGATTACCAAAAAAAAAAAAAAAAAAAACACATAGGATGTATCACAACCCTCAAGTTCTTCACGAAATTATAATTTATCTTTGCAATGTACATGTACAAGTATTTTTGTATATTGACCATGAATCTGAAGCTAACTTTGCATAAAATTAACAAAAACTCCTCTTGTATAATTAGGTAAACTACTAGGTGAAAATTTGCCCAGGAAAAATGACCAGCATTGGCAGAAGAAGCAATTAGATAAGAGTTGTTATCCTCATGGATAGTCATTGCCAGGAGAGTGCCAAACACAACTTTTACTGCATATATCAAATAGTCAAATTCCCAATAATCTATGGAATATTGCACCCAATAATACATAAAACGATTAGCGTATTATATTTATAATTAAAAAAATTAATTAATTTTCTGTCATATAATTTTAATTTTTCCCTTAGAATTTGATCTCTTTGACCGCTATTATTACATTACACGTATATAAAACTATAAACAAATAAAGAATTGGTTGTTAATACGAGAAAATAGCTAGGGTTTCCATTGATTAACTTTGTACCTTTTTTTCTTTTTTTTTTTTTTGTTAATTGAGGTGTTTGTACCTCGATTATTCTTCAAGAAAAGCTATCCTACAGTAACCCACCACCTCGGGCCTCCAAGTAAATAATAGATAAAAGTGTTATCTTTGTGCTCAATAGGGAATCAAACCTAATTAATTTTGTAAGTTATTACTTGAAGATAATGTATAAATTTCTTGTTTTATCTTATACTGTTAGTAACAATTGTAACAACTAATTATATTCAAATATAAAAGCCATACCAAACTCGATCTTCGATCACACGATTAATTACTTGTACGAAGTTTCCTTGACATGTGTCGAATTGTTCCCACCAAGTTATGAATTTCTGTTTTCTTTCCAAATTTTGTCTACTTCTTGTTGTCGAATGTTACTTTAATAGTGGACTTTTGTTCTTCTATTTTCCTGCAGTCTTAATTCACAAGGAAAGAAAGTTTGAAAAGCAATTGAAATATCAACTCCATAAAGGAAATTTAATTTGTTCTATAACGTGTCAAATTAATATTCTGTTCTTCCTTCTTCAGAATTATACTATATGCGTGAATATGAAGTCAATGACGTAAGAAAGGTTGAAAAAAATTTCAGATCTTACCGTCTTAATATTAACTTAAAATTGGCCAATGAGAGCTCCTATGCCACCATTAATTTGATCTCAAAAAGGTTTATAAAAACCTCGAGATAACTATACATAAGTCAAAACCAAACAAATTAAGAAGAATGAAATTAATCAATGTCAAACATACCTTTATTCAGTAAAATAATTGTATATAACGCTACTTGTGAGTCCAAACAAATTTAATGTCAACGTGGAATTAAGAAATGTGGACAACACTTTGAAGATCAAAAGGAGCAGGTAAAACCCTAGCCCTATTATTATTGTTTCCATACATCAAATATTAATATTGTATTTTATTGTCATACAGTGTTTCATCTCCAGAAGCTAAGCCTAGATACTGCAATCTTCTTGTTTGAATTATTGTAAAGCAAACTGAATTTTATTTTATGGATTTTCAAAGAGAATCCAATGATAAAATGAAAAGCTATAAGTAAATATATTTTATAGTCTAAGAACTTCTAAATCATTTGATTGTATGAAATTAGTAATCAAAAATTTTTATTACAAATTTGTACTATATATTATAATAACTTAATTATATTTATGATTTTAAAAAATATCGATTATATCAACCCAAACCCTAAGACTGGAAAACATATACATATATTATGTGATGAAATCATAATCAGCCATCATAATTTGATCATATTGGAACAAAAAAGCAGCTTGCTTAGAGTAATGTAACGTAATCAATGACCAAAAGCAGTGTCACCATCGAGGTTTCAGTAGGTAAAATTTGGTCGGTTTAATTAATTCAGAGATGAAGATTTAGCGTATGTTGACTACTGACCTCTAATGTATGTAACTACTTCTGTACAGTAAAAAGAAACATGTGTACGCAAGTTCATATTGTATAAATCTCTCATCAGATTATAAAAGAAAGATAAATTAAGCTTCCAATTATATACTCTTAGACCAATTTTCCCACCTTCCTCCCTGGTTCTATGCCGGTTTACCAGAATATAATAAGAATTGATTGAATTCTCTTAGCAGCCAAACATGTAAATTAATGAAACTTTTAAAGAAATCTCAGTGGCCAGCCATGTATGCATGAGGCAACCGTGAAATTGTGAATAAATCCAACAGAGTAAGGACATAGATTATATAATAAGAAAGGAAAAGGAAATTGATCATAAGTTTGATCGATATGCATGCATATAACAATATATGACAAGTGTATATAGAGAATATCGATCGGTGCGTTTGGTTTATTATTTTGGAGATAGTATTAAATAGTTGAAGGTGATAATTACGAGGTAAAATTTAAAAATTTATAAAAAAACCCATAGGTTTGCTAATTTAACTAAACAGCCCAATATATAATTTTTTTTAAAATGACAAAAAACACCCACCCCACCACAGTGCCAGATTCCGGCCAACTGTGGGAATTGGTGAAATCTGGCATTATGAGCAGACTAGTCGGATTTGGTAGGACGTGCATCGATCTGGCCTTTTTCGGCTAGATCCACATGGATCTGGCCAGATTGGCCGTCAATTTTCGCAAAAGGCTAGACTGGCCGTCAGCGATAGCCAAAGATATGGCCGTTGTTGACCATCAACGACGGCCTTTCTTTGGCCGTTGCCGATGGCCAGATCCACTCAAAGAAATGGCCGTCGTGACGGTCAACGATGACTATATCCAGATTTGACCTTTTTCGGTTAGATCCATTGTGTATCTGGCCGGAAAAGGTCAGATTGGCGAATTATCGACAAGTTTCGATCGTTTGTAGGACGTTGTGACAGATTCCAGTTACCACCGACGGTGGTGTCAAAATCTGGCAACTATAGGTAGGTGGGGGTGTTTTTGTTAATTTTAAACTTTTTTTTCCTGGTGGTATTTAATGAAATTATAAAACTTAAAGGGTCTAAAAATAATTAAAAAATATAATAGTATTTCTTAAATAATTAAACAAACAAATATTTTGGAAATGGATTGGAAATAGGGATAGAAATATAAACCAAACGCAGCCAATGATATCATATGATTATGTCATTGCTTGATTTAATTTTATGTTGAATTTGAAGGAATTTTGTTCAAACTTGGAGGTAATTAAAAGTTAAAACTACGTTGGCTTTCAAAAGATTCTTGTTTGGATGAATGGGTGATCAACTCGCAATGGTCGTAGGGCTAAAGCGCTTAGAGACTGCGGATTGCATCCTATAAAATATTAAGTTAATAATTAGTTATAAATAATCAATATATACAAAAAGTAAGAAAATGACAAAAACGATGACCAAAGTGCTGTGAGGATTGAGGATTTTCAGGTGAAACTATACCACAAGAATACTTTTAATTAAGAAGTACCTTAACCTAAATGTTTGGAAAATATATTTCATAGAGTGCAATCCCAATTAGAGAACGTGTCTCAATCTTATATCTCAGAGTCATAAATATTAAGATTGAGATTAAATAATGATAAAACACTACACTTAATAAAAATAGACTCATATTACTACCTCATTTTCTATAAAAATATTAGATTTTGTAAAGTTTTCAATATCAATCTTAATATAAGATAATTAGTAACCATTATGATAAAGTCTCTCATGCAATTATATATGATCTCTTAATTAATAACTTCACTAATATACAGTGATGGTATGTATACTGCTTGTTCAATATTCATTTTGTGTAAGTCTTTAATATAAATAATATACAAGACAAAGACATCATAAATAATAAAGTATAATAAAAAATACAAGAAAACCAAATCTATGCCCTGGCTAGCTGATACCAATTGTGAGGCTAGAACGAAAATTAACCTTATTATTAGTGAGATTTATAGAGTCTTGCTCTATTTGAAAATCATAGATTTTCGTATAAATTACTTCACACCATTCATCAATGGGTAGAGTAGAAAATTTAATTAAATGAAACATAAATCCTTAATGATTATTTCATTTTGTTTATATCACTTCATTTAAATATGAGTAATATACACTACAATTTTCTTACAAACTTCTCTCAAAACCTAGTACAGCTTATAATGGTCAATTCACAATTTATCATGTAGGACCAGGTGAGACCCATTATGAATTTACCAATTACAAACTGTCACGGCGAGATTGTGAGATAAGTTTTGAGAAGAGATTGTGCAGAGTGTACACTTTTCTTTAAATATTTGCAAACTCATTACGTATACCACCGGATTATGCATGTTTCCAACTCGGAAATCAGTTGAAATACGTAAATTTTAATTGAGAAGGTT